AAAAGCGTGAATAAGTCCAAATGAGGCAAATATGTTTCTTTTAGAAACGCCATATTTTCACAGCAAAAATCACAGATGAAGCAAACTTTTATTATTGTGCTCAGGGCAGGGAGTCAATATATTTTAGATGACAGAAAGTTTTTGTTAAAGAAGATTTCTACTGATGAAAAAAACTAGCTCAAATAATGCATTTTTTCTTCGAAACTCGGAACAAATGTATTCAGATTGCTGGATTTCGTTTTGAAGCGTTTTTTTTTAAATAATAGTTGCCGTTTTGCTTCCAGCATCATAGATGAACGTTTCAAAGAAAAGTGCAAAGTCTATCCCCATACTGATTTTCTCCTCAAGCAATTAGTCTAAAAAAACAATCAAAGCTTTTGAAATGCTGACTTTTTATCAAAATTTGGAACAAAAAGGATTAACGTTAATGTTGAATTTAAAACTCGCTTTTTAGCAGATAGAATCTTTACGATACTGTTGCAATAATTTTCCGATTTTTGATGAAATTATAGAATATTTGGGCTCGCCATTTTCCTCATGAATTTTCACTCACTGATTTAATTAGTTTTGCTTATAAAGTTTTTATGCTATCTAAAGTATCAACTCCAAAACTTAAAATCTATTCATTGCATTTATTTTCTACGAATTTGGGTTTTCTATCGTAGTCTCTAATTTGCCGAAATTGGAATAAGTAACGCCCGCGTTATATTCTCTGTTTCTCCAATTTATTCCAGCTAAAATTTTGCACATGAAATTGAAAAGCAAGCTAATTGGTGGTAATACTGCGTTTCAAGGTGCAAAGATGTAACATTTTTTGATTTCGTGCGTGGAAGGGAGGAATTTCATTTAAAAAATGGAAATCCTTTCTAATATTTTTTGAATATTTAATCAAATTGTTTATTTTTCTAGATGTTATCGAATTTTGTATCATCAGGATGAATTTTTTCAGGGTGATGCTAAACGTACCTTCAAGGTCGAAATCTGAAACAAATCTGTTAAAGGTCCAGTTCCCTTACAACGTATGAGGCACAACTCTCTTTGCATACTTTCAAACTTTGAAAATAAACTCGCTAAAAGATATATAAGTTGACACTCAGTCCAATTTGGTATTATTGTTGTAAATTTTCCGGGCAAAAAAAACAGTAATGATTTTTCGAACACTTTTTGGTCAGAATAAATTCAATTTTAATAAAAACTGAGTTCAGATAAAGCAGTTTTGCATATTTCTGGTTAAAAACTTCCTTTTTACCGTTTGCTTGCTTTTCACAGCTCGATTAATAAGATCAGACATACCTAGCCAACAGAGAGTCAGGGAAAAAGAACTGATAAAAAAATTAGTAATCATATACGTTGAAAAATTGTATCGCCTTGCAAGATCATTAAATGATTGACACTGTTTTGATTAAACTGATCCAAATATTTGCTCCACAGGAAAATTAGCTTAATTTGCCTTAAAAACCCAAAACAAGATAGCAAGTTTTGACTCTCAAACATATTTCAAGACTCTTTGCTAAAAACATCCTTCGTTCTTTGATAGTTAAAATCTACCCAGCCAATTTTTGATCGTATTAGGTCAAAACGAGCCTTATTTTTAGTCTCAGTATTGCAACTTGACTCTCCGAAAAATCTAACTAAATTGAAGGAAACCGAAAAAATGAATAACATTTTAAAAAAGTTTTCAGCTTCAAAGATAGCCACAAAGCGCTTTGAGGCTCTTTCCCCTCCTCTCCCCCACCTGCAAATATTTACAGGTCAAATTTTTGTTCACATTGTCCGATTTTTTTTATAATTAATACCAAATTGCTGGCAATATCGGTGACCTTGAACATGTTAATCTGTCCAAACCTACAGCTTATAGATTAATTAGCTTTTTGGAAATGGTTTTTACGTGTGAAAACCAGTGAGAAGCTAAGAACCGACGTCGATATGAGCAGTTTTAGCTTAATTAACTTCGTTCAAATTCGTTGACCGAAAAAGATATTGCCAACAATTTGGCATTAACTATAAACATTGGAATGCGGACTAATTAAGCGATGAAAAACATGTTCAGTCTCCTTAAATAACCCTGTAAAACCACTCGTTAGACCATAAATTTCATGCTCGTGCAAGGTTGAAAGGGGAGCTTGGGAAGGGTGGAAGGAAAAAAACCCGCTGTGTATTTCAGCCGCTTTTACTTTACAAAAACTGGATCAATCAAATTTTTTACCGCAGGCAAAGAATTTGAAGCTAATTTAAAACCAGCCAACAGTCAGTAGGAAAAGAAAGAAAATTCAGATTTCCAAACTTTTCCAAAGGGTCCCCTTTGATAATATTTTTGAGATACATTACTGGCTAGTCAAAATCAAAAATTTTCTAAGGGCGTCATCGGCGCTAATGTAGCTAAAATTTAGTGGGTAGCGCACGCCGAAATAAAAGCAATTTTTTGGTCAAATACTTTTTAAAAGTGCTGAAACGTCATTTTTAGCATGTTTCTTTTAAATTTGGCTGCGGCGCCGAAAATTTTGGACAAAATAGGGTCCTTATGGTATTTTCGGAGAGCTCGGAAAATCAAATCGGTCGGTGACCGACTTAACGAAAGGTTAACAAAATTTTCTTTTCGAAAAAAACCACTCCCCCCCCCCAGAAAAGTTTCTGCGCAATCCACTGCACACGACATATTGTTATTGAGACGAACCTTGGTATGATTTTGTTCTTCTGTGGGGCAGCATTTCTCGCTCGTATGGTGCAACTAGCTTATAATGGTATGGACTGAATTCTTCTTTGTGCGTGTGGAAGAAATTGTCTACGTCTTTGTCTGAGTAGCCAACGATGTAGAACATTGGCTTCTGAAAACAATTTTTCGATTGGTAAATTATGATTTGTTACGCGTCTTGTTTTGGTCACAAAAAGCATATTCTTTCTGATCACTAAGAAATGAGTTACCTATTGAAATGGTTGATGTTCCTACAATTATTTAAGAAATATACTTTAAAACAGAGATGCAAATTCGGTGTTTTTGACTTGTGAAATTGGTGTTGTCACGGATTCCGTAGCTCATTTCATTTGAAGTTTCGTTGTGTTTTGTCCCTAAATCATTGGAAGTTTCGTTGTGTTTTGTCCCTAAATCATTTGAAGTTTCGTTGTGTTTTGTCCCTAAATCATTTGAAGTTTCGTTGTGTTTTGTCCCTAAATCATTTGAAGTTTCGTTGTGATGCAGATTCCGTGACCTAGGGCTATATAACACACCTGAAGCTAATTTTTCAGACAAACTTGTAGTCTGAAAAAGGCCATCTAAAAATTTGTGGCCATATTGACTTTTAAATTATTTCTGTCAGTTCTAATTTAATGCAGCCTATTACAGAAAAATGCTTAGAATATCTGTTTCCAAAAACAAAAGGCTGAAAGAATTCAGATGTTGTGAAATACATATCATTAACCAGCTGACTGTATAATCGATAATAGATATAGACCCTTACCTTGTAGAGGGTGGCTACTTTTTTGAAGGCATCCTGGAGATAGTTTGTTTTCTCGAACACGTCGCAGTCCCACTGGAGAGCGTTGAGATGGTACTTGTAGTCTCCCATTCTCATGTGCACATACACAACAGTGCAGCCAGTCTGTGTCCAGCAATTGTTCAGTTTGTTCAGACCATTGAACACTTTCTCAGCATCTCTCCACACTGTTCGGTTGAAAATAACTCGTGAGCGAAACTCCGCATAAAAACCTACAAAAACATCATTTATAAAAACCAAAGTCAACAGACAGAGTTGGGAAAGAGTCAAGGAATGCAAAGAAGCAGAAAAAATTGATTTGTTTGAATTGGTTTAAAGAGTTTTAGAGAAAAAAAAACAATAACCCCTTCTATTTCTATTTGCAATGCCAACACAACTTCAACTTGTTGATAAAATTTTGTCTTATTTAATTTTTAACCTAACACCAAGATTACCGAACTCGTTATAAGATAACAAAAACCAAAGTAACCATGGCCATCTTAGCAGCTATAAGCTACCATTGAAGAATGCTCTGCAATTCTCGGTGGTGGAACTTATTGGTATGTTTAGCTGGCATTATAAAGTTAAACAAATAGAGATTACTTGAACGTTTGATGTAAAACTACTTGCCATAAGTAACAAGTGGTAAAAATTGAGGATATGTTGGAAGTTGAACCCGCTTGCCCTTCAGATCCTCAGGGGACTCCCCAAATGCCGCAACACCCTTCTCCCAAATCATGCCAGTACTCGGTTGCACTATTTGGCGCTTGTCTGCCGGTGGATTGATCCTGCATTCTAAATCACTTCAAAATTTGTAACTAGAACAAGTCGCATTTTTGCGACCAATTTCGAAAAGGTCTCAAAAAATCCGAGCCTTCGCTAAACTACTAAATCCGCCACAACAGCAAGTTATACACAACTGAAAAAAAAACATCTTTTTTCTTTTTCAATCGGCTGCCAATTTTGGTTAATTTTTACTTTGGCAAAAATACAATATGATTATGTATCAAAATTGTTCATGTTGTGAAAATTTGTTCACTTGTTCATGCTGACATGTTTTAATGCAATTGAAAAAGTCAAAGGTTATTCTAAATAGGTTTTTGCAACAATATTTTCGGAAAAATCAAAGGAGGCACAGGAAAAAGCCTAAAATTTCAGGTGCTGCAAAAAGTCTATGAGTACAGAGCCAATATAATGTAACTGCGCATTGCCTTCAATTATACGCGTTCCTAAAACTGACACCTTCAAATTAAAGTATCAGAAAACGTTCAAAGTAATGTATCAGAGACAGAGTCAGTACCGGGCCCGGGTTTCTTACGGACCGGGCTCGGGCCTCATTTTTAGGATCAACAACCGGTCCGGGTAGGGCCCAGGCCTGACTTTCAAACGAGATCACTTCTTTCACCGGTCAAGCTAAAAACGGAGCGTGATTTCAACCAGGGCTGGGCAAATCCAGACAATCAAGCGTGCCCTCCTTTCTGCGGCAAAAGCCAGCCAAATCGAACTGCTAGGATCGGCTGCGGCCAATGGACTTATTAAATTTCTTAAATTTGACTTTCAATTAACTTTCTGTTAGGAAATTCGTGTTTTCAATAAAAATGAGCCATGGCCGACACTGGGCTTAAAATTTTTGTTTCCGAACTAGGCCAATGCCTCAAATTCAGTGTCAGGTCCAACTCTGCACAGGGGCGGTTCTAGGATTTGTTCGAGGGGGGTTGGAATTTTTAAAAAAATTCGAAAAATCAGGTTTTTTTTCGGCACTCGCTCCCCCCTCAAAATTAATATAAGTTGGCGCCAAGGACAGCTTTAGAAAAAATTTAGGGTCGGCAGGGAGGTAGAACCCCTGAGGGAGGAGGGGGCGTCCCCCCTAAATCCTCCACTGGAAAAAACCTGAAACTTAAAAAATAATAAGACTAGCAAACTTCTAATTTCTGGCAAAAAGTTCAAAGAAACTAAGTTTTGACTTTGAAGTTTTAGTTAATCTTGCATTGAGCGTGGCATACAAAAACATGTAATACTTTAAACCTGCTAAAATACGCTTTTCATTTCAGTTTTTGGGTATCCAGGACTACGTTATGCACACAAAAAATATTGCGTGCAAAAAATAGAAAATGTCTGTTAGAGTAGAAAGGGTTTTGGAGCTTCAAATGAGATACCAAGAACTATGAGAGCCATTTTTGATAATAACTAAAAGAATGTTCGGAGTCGCCATAAATGTAAAATTATATAATTAGCGTTCTTTTGTCAAAAAAATTTTTTTCGCAAATGATGAAACACAAACATTTATTGCAAAACAAGAAAAAGATCTTTTAAAGTTTAATCAAACCAAGTTAGCAAAAAAGTATAAGATAGAACTAATTGTATTTTTTCTTAGACTTAGTTTATGGAAATGTATGATAAGCGTTTTGGTCTATGGAGCTCACCTCGGCATATAATTGTTTCATTTAATAAAAATTATTTGAAGACAGTTAAAGGGTAGTCAGAAGATTCAAGGATTTGCCCTGACAGGGGCAGTCTTTTTCACGGTATAAATCCATTTTTTGTTAATTGAGTCCATATAACTTAGGTTTTTTCAGGAAAGTAAACATCGTGTTTTGAGCATTTGAATAGAAAACCAAGCACAGTTGTAGCCCTTTTGCAACTGAATCCTTATATTACTCAACAAAATAATTTACTATTGTTTTGCTTTTTTGTGAATTGAACAAACACACTTTAGGTTTAGATCTACACGTATTTCATTTTGAATATAACTGTAGAACAGAGATATTAGAATTTTTATGAGTAATTTACGTAGTGAGTATTCTTATATAGGTCTTGTTGATTTTGTTTTGTCAGCAAGAAGTCTTAAAACTTGTTCATGCTCAATTTTGATTTTTCGCGGTTTGACTTGTGATTTCGTTTTAAGTTCAGTGCATTTTTAATATGTTAAAAGGAAGGCAAATTCCGCTATCGAACAAAAAAAAACTGCAAAAAACATGATAAATGTGATTGACTTTTGATTTCAAAAACGGTTTAAGACTCTGTTTTTCGAAACTCTCCGAACACCAACTTTGAATTCCTGTGCGTGCGATTTTAACCGCAAAAAAATTATTTCTGATTTTTTAACTAATTGTTTTACTCAATTAAAGGACAAGTTTAAACGATTCATCCAAAGAGGACTTAGATTTGCAGAAATCTTCTTTCAATCTTTTGATTATAGTTTTAAAAAAATTCAGACAGGCGGATCTAGCATTTTCTCAAGGAAGGGGGAGAGGGCTGAAATTTTAAAAATTTTGTCGAATTTTTGTTAGGTCGACCAGATTGATTTTCCAAGCTCTCTCAAAGCACTAAAAAACCCTGTCCCTTTAAGCTTTTTGGCAAATTTTGACCAATGAAAAATTTTTTTTAGGCGTGCGCTGCACTTCAACAATAGTATACATTGACGCTGAAAAATTTTAGGGTTGGTTATCCTAAAAGTAATGTGAAAAAATAAAACCAGAGGGGGATGTTTGGTTGATGAGGGAGTCGAATCCCTGAGGGGGCGCATCCCTCCCCAAAATCCGCCCCTGAAATCAGGTGAATTAAAAAGTAGTTGAGCATGTCTGAGCAGCAGCTGAAATTGAGCAGCAAATGTGTAAAAAAAATTGTATGAAAATCTGAAAAACATTGCTGCCCTTTGAATTTTGCTAATTGACTTTATTATTTGAACTTTGCTAATTTGGCAAAATTGAGATAATTAACTCAACTTGTTTGCGTACTTAACGTAGACCGCAGGTTTTTGCATTTCAATTTCAATTGTCGAAACAAATTATTTGGACGTGTTATTAGGCTACAAGACCTTAAAATTTCAAGAATTTACAAGACGTTTTCGAATATCAATTAAAACAATAACTACTGCAAAAAAGTATACATAGCTTTTTATATTTGTCAGCGTAGGTTTTTTTGTCATGCGCGTCAGACCAAAAGCGCGAAATTTTTTTAGACATTTTGAATTCAAAGATTATAATTCAAAAATATGCGGTAAATTCGGTCAGTTTAGGACAGTTTAAACCCGCACGGAGCGCCCATGGTTTTTAATTGATTAAGTTAACTAATTTGTTGAAAATTTTAGCACATTCGGTCTTTTGAGCCTGAAAATATTCCCTCATTTTTCAATCACAAAAGTATCTTGGCCAAACTATTCGCAACTATTTTCGTTCCTTTTGTATCAGCAAATTTTTTTTTTTCATTTCAGAGAGAGCATTTTACTTAGAAATGAACAACACAATTAAGCTTTCTAATAATGAAAAGCTGTTGTTCCGACCACTTGAAAAATTATGGTTATACGACCAAAACCAGTTTTTTGTTTTGATTATTGGATTAAAACGCTGAAATCTGTTGAAATTGAGTCCAGCGAATTTTTTTCTGTTTTTCAATCACTTATCAGAGCGTTTCCCAGTGTGATATTTTGGACGCGTTAGCAGAAACGACCAATTTTTTGTGACAAAATTTCAGCTCGCAGATTAGGATACGTTTTAAAGTCAAACAAGCTCCGCTTGCACTTATGTGCCAATTTAGACGTTTTTTGGCTGAAAATTTTACAACCTATTTTTTGTTCTTTTTTCTTTAATTTAATTTCTTACATGCTAATATGAACTAAAAAGCCTTTAGCACTAGCACATTAACCCGCAGCTTACGTGGGTTAAAAGAACGCAAAAAACCCCCTCTTTATTTAGCCCTAATTGGCCATACTAGCAATTTTCACACCTCATAACTTAAAAATGAATAATCACAAATGAATAGGATGGTATTTAGGATGGTATGAAAAAATTCCGTTGAAACTGCTTAGTTGAATAATCGAAAATCGACTGAAAAAAGACCGGCACAAGCATGAATTTTCCCTTTTTTCGGAAATCCGAACAACAAGGCTGCTCGTATGTCAGGGCGAAGCCCTGAATGTCTTGACTGCACTTTAAGGCCGTTTTGAAATTTTTGTGGCTGAAGAATTGGCGAATAAATTTTTGAAATATACAAATTTTTTTCATGATTTTTTCCTAATTTTGATGTAAAAAAAATAATTTGAACCAATACGGTTATGTATTTTACATTACGATGTATTTAGGTCTTGTAGCCCAATTACACGTCCAAATTAATTGCTTCGACAAATGAAATTGCAAGGCAAAAATCCGCGGCCTAAGTGTGGTAAGTACGCAAACAAGGCGCGTTAATTATCTCAATTTTGCCAAATTAGCAAAATTCAACCTTTTTGAATTTGAGCTTCGGACAACAACGATTTCAAGATTTTCTTACAATTTTTTTTACTTATTTTCTGATCAATTTTAGCTGCTGCTCAGACATGCTCAACTACTTCTTAATTCACATGATATCAGGGGCGGATTTTGGGGAGGGATGCGCCCCCTCAGGGATTCGACCTCCTCATCAAGCAAATATCCCCCTTTGGTATTATTTTGTGACTTAACTTTTAGGCCAACCAACCGTAAAATTTTTCTTAAGATGCTTTCAGTTTCAATAACAAACAAAAAAAAACATTTTCCTTGGTCAAAATTTTCCAAAAAAGGCTTAAAAGCACAGGATATTCTAGTGCTTTGAGAGAGCTTGGATAATCAATTCGGTTAACCTAACAAAATATTGCGCAAACTTTCAAAATTTCAGCCCCCTTACCCCTCCCTGGAAAAAATCTTAGATCTGCTTGTCTGAATTTTAAAAAAAAATAAAATCAAAAGATTGAAAAAAGACTTCTGAAAATTTAAGTCTTCCTTGGATGAATCGCATAAACTTGTCCCTTAATTGAAAAAAACAATTCCATCTACAAGTCGAGCTGATATTGGTTAAAAAATCTGAAGTCGGTTAAAAACGCACGCACAGGATTTCATAGTGGGTGTTCGGAAAGTTTCAAAACACGGAGTCTTAAACCATTTTCGAAATTAGAAGTCGATCACGTTTTCGTTATCTTTACAATTTTGTCGTTCGGCAGTGGAATTTGCTTTCTCTTAACAATAGAAATGCATTGAATTTAAAAAGAAATCAACGCAAAGTCAAACCGGGAAAAATCAAAATTGAGCGTGAACAATTTTTAAGACTTTTTCCTGAAAAACAAATCAGCAAGATCTATATAAGAGTACTACTCACTACTTTGATCACTCTTAAAACTTCTAATATATCTGCTCTACAGTTATAACCAAAACGAAATAACTGTAGATCTAAACCTAAATTGTGTTTGATTACTCCACAATAAAGCAAAACAGTTTTAAATTATTTTGTAGAGTCATATAAGGATTCACTTGCAAAAAGGGCTACAATAGTGCTTGGTTTGAACGCATTAAAACATGATGTTTACTTTCCTGAAAAAACCTAAATTGTATGGATTCAATTAACAAAAAATGGACTTATACCGTGAAAAAGACTGCCCCTGTCAGGTCAAATCCCTGAATCTTCTGACTGCCCATTAACAGTCCTCGACTAATTTTTGTTAAAGAAAAAATGATATACCGAGATGGTTCCATAGACCGAAAACGCGAATCATACAATTCCATAAACTAAGTCTAAGAAAAAATACAATTCA